AAAGAAAAAAAAAAAAAATCCCCTTTTTTATGTTTTTTTTTTTTTTTTTTTGGCCAAGAATTTAAAATTTAGAAGCATTTTTCATATTAAGGTAGCCTGTTTTTTTTTTTTTTAATCTAAAGAGACACTTACCTTGAGTATCCCTATAGTCTGCAGATTCTTCTAAAAGGTTCTTTAAGTAATCTGTATAAAAGAAGAAAATATATTTTTAAAAAATTGTAAAAGAACTAAACAGCATCAAAGTAGTAAAAAAACACTTTCTTTTTTTCTAGAAATTTGCTTTTCAGACTGATGTATGCAATAAAGATCTACCATTTCATCTTTCAAATCTGTCTAAAGTAATAACACTGGGGAAAAATCCAAGTACGTAATGCTACCTTGGTGGGAAAAATAAGGTTACAGTATTAGTATTCCAGAACAAAACAAGCAAGTGAAAGAGGACAAGTATATACACACAATCCTTTACATTTACGCTGACACACACAAAAACCCCATGATTGTAGATATTACTTAGTTTTGTATTAACACCTAACTCGTGTATAAAATCTGAGAAAAAAAAATAGCCCAACCCTGAATATTACTACAATTAATATTTTTTTTGAATTAAAAGAAGTATTTATTCTCCTGCGTCCCCACGAAAGAGCAAAAAGTTTTTGGTTTTCTGTTATAAATCCAGCCCTCAACCACCAGATGGCACCATCTATTCATTAAAGTCCTCCTTGGTAGGTTTTATTCTATTTTACTTGACCAAAATTAACCTCAGACGTTCAACTACCAAGAAAACATCCCTCTAGAGATTCCATTTCTTGGTTCACCAACAAGTATGATGTCCTATCAAAGATACATAACCTGATCAATATGTCAGCCAGGTATTTGCTGCAGTCCACAACTTTGAATTAGTCAAGTGTCATGGAAACCCAAGCAGAAGCTTTCAGGCAAATATATGTTAGAACGATATCATCAAATACCCATTCCTAACTATCTTTCAAGTGAGTGAATGTATCTGGATTCTCACAGATCTACTAAAAACTAATCATACAGGGTCTGCGATCTCACAAATGTTCCCTATTAGCTTAGCAGTTGTACAAGTTTCACGTAGGAGTAAAATAATTCAACTCCCATACACTTGCCCTACCCAGATTCACCCTTTGCTCAAGAAGGATCTGGAGCCAAATGTTCCTGCCTTCCTCAGGCGTCTCGCTTCATGCATGCCCCTCCGAGAGCACTGGGTGCGTGGTAATGTTTTCCTTATGCAGAAAAACAATCATCAGATGTGTTTCTGTGGTAAAAGTGCTATGAAGAGTGAGAATCTTGTCAGCTAATCAACGTTTTGAGGAAAAACGAACCATGGGAAAACATATTTGGCAGGTTTTTTTTGCTTGTTTTTTTTTTTTTTTTTTAATGTTTTGGCAAAGATCTGAGGTACGATCCCAAGGAGAAAAGGATAAGGAGCAGGTTAGAGTGAAGGAAAAGGAACCTGGTGGGAAGTCCTACAGGGAAGCAGGAGGGACAGTGAGGAACAATTTGGCTATCTGGGCTACAAGAACTGCTGTGTTTGCAGTTCCGTCGGATCTTAATCCGGCACCGCCCAATGCGGGATCTCTTGGTAAGTCTGCCATGGCATAAAAACCTTTTCAGCTTCTGAATTATTTCATCACTCACACCCCTCACATCCCTTATCCCTTTTGCTGTAGTAGCTACCAGACATTTGAGTGCAGCATTTACATGGCCGCAGTCTCCAGGACAAACCAACTCCACTTTGTGTTATGCTGGTAAGAAATTAAGAGAAAAAAATCAACAGGAAGCATTTTAAAGGGAACTGAGAAGGGTTTGCGCTGTTTCTACCTTGAGCTTTCACCTGGACGACCCTATTTCACAAACACACATTAAGAATATCGGACTAAAGCTGCCCTCTCTTACCCTACTGCACAGGCAAAGCCTACTTGGGACTCCACCGTAAAGCAAACGAGTTAAAGCTTTGCAATTGCAACTTCACCTTCACCTCGGCCAGCAGAAAGTGGAGATGTGTCACTATTAAAATGTGTGTCTTTGCAGCTTATATAGAAAAGCTAGATCTCCTTAAGGTTGCCAACCATTGAGTCACTTATCTACAGACTGGGAACAAGGAGTAAAGGGATATAACTTATTAATCTCCAAATGGACTGCTGGCATGCTAAGAAACTGTTCCTGGAAGATGGAGACATCCAATTTAATATCCAAAATAACTGCACTGGCAGCATAAAACGGAGACCAAATGTGGGAACTAATTGTTTCCTGGCATATTTATGGCTTTATGGCACATTCCCCAAAACAATGACACTTTCTTTATGGACAAGGATAACACCACAATGAAAAACATTCCCAAGTAAAATTAGCACAGAAATCAAATATCAAGGTGAAACAGTATCTGCTTCATTTGCCAAATTTCTTTGTCCTCTGAAATGCAGCTGAGTTATTCAGCCTTTTTACTCAAATAAAGTCCAGTAAGTCATTTCTAGGTGAAACACTGGGTGCTCAGAGGACAAAAACAGTGACCAGTCAAGGAATTTTGCTTATAAAGTTTAAATATAGAACAGAGACAGGCTTTCGCCTTAATATTTCTCCTCTTTCCC